AATTGATTCACCAGCAAACGCGATCTATGAAACTAACTTAGGTATTATGACAAACTGTATATTTGGCCATCAAGAAATGATGTACAGTACAAAGCACGTTCAATTAGCCAAGAGTGATGCAGGGGCGCCTAGCTAACCATAACCTGAGGTAACGTTAGCCAGCTAGCTGTAACTTGGCTACTTTTTTGTGGATCTACGGTTGGTTGCTTCATAACGTAAGCTAAAAAATTAATTTGCAAACGGCAAGCAACTTAGTATCATGGACCAAACGGTCCAAATGAAATATAGGAACATTACAGATAATACAGATCTCATTTATTTTCAGCTTTCTACCAACATGATGATGGTCAATAACAGTTAATCTTGTTTTCCTACTGTTCTGGTCGATGCCCAGGTGCTCGTTTGCTTGGTGTCGCTAATATTAAATATTTTCTAAGAGTTACCTTTAATTAGTTAAAGGGATAGTGTAGCCAAAAATGTAAATTCAGCCATTATCTACTCACCCATATGGCGAGGGAGGCTCAGGTGAAGTTTTAGAGTCCTCACATCACTTGCAGAGATCCAAGGGGAGAGGAGGTAGCAACACAACTCCACCTAATGGAGGCTGACGGCGCCCCAGATTCAAACGTCCAAAAACACATCATTGAAACCACAAAATATCTCCATACTGCTCGTCCGTAGTGATCCAAGTGTCCTGAAGCCCCGACATAAAAAGTTGTTTGGAAAAACCTCATTTGAACTCTGTTTTTAGCCTCATTGTAGCCTGTAGCTCTGACTGCCTCTCTGGGCACCGCGCTCACGTGTGTGCGCTTGTGCAAGACCGTGAGACATGGGCACTGCCTTCATGTGTGTTCACGTGCTTTTGCTGGTCTGTGAGCGCGTTTTGTTCAGCAGTACAAATATCTTAATGATGTCGATGAGGTGTATAGAAAAGCCCATCAGCAAGTGCATTTTGATCTTAAGCTTCAAAGTTTTATCGTCGACAGTACTCTCATGACAATGTTTCATCGCTGCTTTATGTCCTCACCTTTTTAAACTGGTACAGGTTGTTCACCCTCAAAAGTAGAAACAGATTGCAGGTTTTTGTTAACGTGTGCATCAGAGGTACATCTTGAATGACCTTCCTCATCTGTACGAGGTTCGGACTTAAAGATGGCCTCGCCAACCCCTGTCTAAGGATTTCAAGCTGCTCCTGTCTGGCCACAGATACCATACAGTAGAACTCATTCTCCCTGCTGCTATTGAGCTTTTAAAAACTCAGTGTTTATTATTTATCTGCTGGGTCCTTCTGGCTGCACATCAAATTGCTCCTTGGAGATTATTAAAATATCCTTGTTCCTTGATGGAGAATTAAATCATGTGCCAAATTAATTCTTCATAAATGTTAAAGGGTATCTTTTGCTAAATTTCACTGAGTGTATCTGATCAGTGGCATGATACATTTTCCTTTTTACTTCCATGCTCCCCACACAAAAAGCACATTGTGGTCCTGGATGTATTTTTAAGAAGCTCTCAAATGATCTGAGAAAATGGTCCCAATTAATTTGTGATCATGTGGCAGGAGACAGTCGTGTGGATGCTTTCAGACAGAGCTCTGTTTGTGCTCCTCTGCTTCCTCTGCTTTTAGAAGGAAAGATGGTTTCCATGTGATCACAGATTACAGGCAGCATCTTGTACACTTGTTTTTAATGACATCACAATCAGCAGAAGTACAGGAATTAAAAGGGGCAATGGCGAGGTTTATGATGGAAACATGGTGTTTCCAGTAATCAGCCCAGACAGATCATTTAGCATGCTTATTAAAGCGTAATGTTATGATGCTGAGGAATTTGTGCCGCCTCTGCAGCTCCTGTCTCTTCATTTATATAGCACCTTTAAAACAGCCAACAGCCAATCAAAGTGCTTTACAGTTAAAATAAGCAAAAACAACAACACAAAAAACATTTATACAGTGAAATATAACAAAGATAAAAGACCCAATAGAGGTGACTGTACTCAACCAAAGGCCTAGGTGAACAAGTGAGTCTTAATCAGTGATTTAAAAGTGGAGAGGCTATTCGCAGTCCACACAGTCAACAGTAACGCGTTCCACAGAGTGCAAACGCTCGATCTCCTCTAGTTTTTAAGAGTGATCGAGGAACATTCAAGACCATCTGATTCGCTGATCTGAGGGCTCTGGGGGGCCGATGCAACACAACAAGGTCAGATAGGTATTCTGGAGCCAGCTCATTCAGAGACTTAAAAACAGATAAAAGAATCTTAAAATCAATCCTGTACCTAACCAGAAGCCAGTGAAGTGAAGAGAGCACCGGAGTTATGTGCTCGTGTTTCTTTGTCCCAGTCAGGAGACAAGCTGCTGCATTCTGAACAAGCTGCAGGTGGTTAAGCTCTGACTGCTCAATGCAGACGTACAGGGAGTTGCAATAATCTAAGTGAGAGGTAATAAAAGCATGGATAACTGTTTCGAGGTCTTTCTGGCTTAGATAGAGTTTAACTTTGGCTAAAAGCCTCAGCTGAAAAAAGCTAGACTTGACCACTGAGCTGACCTGTTTGTCTAGCTTAAAAGCACCATCAATAATCACACCAAGATTCCTAGCATGGGATCTCATGTGAGGTGCTAGTGGGCCCAGGGAGCTGGCAAGGACCTGAACCACACCAGGACGACCGAACAGGACAACCTCTGTTTTGTTTTCATTTAATTTAAGTCCATCCATGTTTTAATGTCACTTACATAGTTTAGCACGGCCTGAAGGGAATCTTTGGACAGAATCTTTTACTGCAAATACACCTGCACGTCATCAGCAAAGCAGTGAAAGGGAATACCATGCTTCCTAAATATCGACCCCAGGGGTAGCATATAAAGAGAGAACAACAGGGGGCCCAGAACTGACCCCTGGGGGACCCCGCAGGTCTCCTTTAGACCAGCATTACATATCTGAACAGTGTTTAAGTATCTGTAAAATTAAGAGACTTAAGTTTGAAGCTTTTTACTTTAGCATCTAGAATAATAAAATCAATAGCTGTTTCAGTTTACTAGATTAATTTTGCTGCAATAAAAATGACTGAAGTGAGATGAACAGACTAACTACTTTATTTTATCTGACAAAGTTTTCCTTTGGGGACATAATTTGCAGCTGAAAAGGGGACTATATTGCGGTATATTTTATCCCAATACTCAGCATATCGCAAAATGTATAAAATCACAGTAATATTGTATCGTGACTAATGTATTGTGATAATATCGTACCGTGGGGTCTCTGGTGATTCCCACCTAACCACATTTTCACCTGCAGTGTGTGCAAATTACTTCAATGTGAATGGAGAGTTTTTAAAAGCTGAGATTTCAGGGTTTTTAGATTTTGGCTTAACATGTCTGGCCAGGTGTGATCAGGGATTGTCTCTGAACGTTTTGATCTGTCATCAACGCATCATGTCCAAAAGAAAGGTGGTGCTTCTTTTTCTTCCAGGAAGCTGGAAACTTCTGCAGTAGAGGTGCTCCCCTTAAACTCAAGCCCCGCATTTAGAGCAAAGAGGTTGTAACAAAGGTATGCATTAGAGACATACAACACTCAGCTTACACCCTCCTCAGGCACAGACATTCAGCACACAGCCTGAGACACGGCAGAGCGGACGGCAGAATCACACACACACAACACGATGCTATAACAGCTTCTTCACTGTGACTGATGGCAAAAGCAAATAGGGACGAACTAACCACAGTGACACTTTCTGAATGCCCTGCAGGTGGAGTTTACACTTTTGTATTTATCATACTTTTTATACCTTGTTGTGTGCACGTAATTTTTTTTACTATTTATTACATGTCTATTTCTGACTTGGCTCTGAGTGTTTTTGCACAAGAAGTCCTTTGTACCCAGACTGTGTGCATGTGTGCAAATGGCAAATAAAGTTATCTTATCATTGTCTGTGGAGCTGCCCCACAATCCACTATGACATCATAAATTGAGTTAGTGTTTGGATTGGGGAGAGAGTTGTTTAGTTTCATCAATATTTTTGGACTTTCTCAGACCGCAGGAGTAAAAGCTAATTTAAACTTCTGCTGAATGGACGCCGTAACCTACGCCGCAGCCTGACGTGCACCTCCCCAGAAAAGTAATGTCACAGTGACGCAGACCTCCTGTCTGTCTCTGTGAGCTGAAACCATTTCCCTCAGTGGAAGATTTGATTTACTTTAATTTCACAGAGAAGAAACAATAAATTGTGAAGACAATAAAGCCTCCACTAAAATAGCTTTTTAAGTCCTGTGTGTGATTTATCCTGGCTTCATATGAGCAGAGGAAATCTCTGCTAGCTGCTAGGCTAATTTATACAATGTAAAATGCCATAGGATTGTGCTAATAATGTTAGCATGTTGTATTTGTTTGCAAAACGTGTTTAGTATAAGACAGTTGTTTTGTCAGTGAACCTTGTGAGTTGTAATGGAGCCGAATGTGTGCCCTTATGCTTGTTACATGTTGCTGCTGTCCCTGGTTTTAAATGAGAAGAGGAAAAGATTGCTAGCTGCTAGGCTAATTTATACAATGTAAAATGCCATAGGCTTGTGCTAATAACGTTAGCATGTTGTATTTGTGGGGAAAATGTGTCCAGATAAAGACAAGTGTTTGTCTGTGAATGCTGCGAGTTATAGTGAAGCTGATTTGTGTTTGAGACTGTCTCTATTAAGCCATGTTTAATGTGTGTTTAATGTGTGTTTAGTGTGTTTAATGTGTGTTTGATGTGTGTTTAGTGTTTAATGTGTGTTTGGTGTGTGTTTAGTGTGTTTAATGTGTGTTTAATGTGTGTTAATTGTGTGTTTAATGTGTGTTAAATCTGTGTTTAATCTGTGTTTCATGTGTGTTTGCTGTGTGTTTAATGTGTGTTAACTGTGTGTTTAATGAATTTAGTAAATGTGTGTACTTCTCTTTTAAAGACGCTCGTTGGGTTGGTTTCATGTTACTGTCTCTTTAAGAGCTGTCAACGGTTTGTTTGCGGAAGTCGGTCCGTTAACTAAATGTCTCGGTCTTGTCTTCCCCTCCGGTGTCTGAGTGTTTTATCACCGAGCCACAGTCACTTCGTTGTTACTCACTATTGTATTTTATCTTAGTTACCCTAATCATCAGGGAAACAGTTTGTGTTGTAGGCCGCTGTTTAAAGGAGAAAGATTCAGTTTCGTCTCAGCTGGAGTTAAAGTTAGCTTCTGAAGTAGGATAAAGGTTTCTGTACAGAAGTCACGATGGCTCCTGAATTAAAGGGTGAGTTTACAAACATTCAGAAAGTGTTAATAAAATAATGACTGACATGTTGTGAAATATCTCTGTTTAAATGTTTCACTCATAATTTACAAAACTGGATTTAAAGGCACAGGTGACAGTTAGCTCGGAGCTAACGTTAGCTAACCTCGGTTCCGTTAGCGTTAAAGTGCAGCAGTTAATGAACCTTTTCAGTGTCTGCTCCTCTTCACTGCCACTGTTGTTGTGTCGTCAGTAGTTTAACTGAGTGTTTTAAATCCGGCTTCAAACAACAGTCCACAGGTGGAGAAATGAATCAGAGTCAGATTTATTACCAACAAGGTTTGTTACTGACAGGGAGTTTGCTTTGGTGTTTGGTGTTTGCATTAAATATACAATAAACTTATTAACATAATTGTAAAATTAAAAAGAAAAAATACCGTTAAAATATGAAAAAGATACTTCAAAACAAAATCAGAAATACTTCATTGATCCCCAGGAGGAAATTGTGATTCCTCACAGAAGAAGAAGAAGAAGAAGAAGAAGAAGAAGACTTTATTGTCATTGTGCACTGCACAACGAAATTACGTGTAGTACCCTCGGCAAGATAACAGCACAATAAAAAGGACAGACAGTATATAAATATAAATATAAATATAAAAAGACGTCAGTAAGGTATAAAAACAATAAAGTGTGTGAGAGATATAGCAGCAGTATAAAAACTTCGATAAAAGAGGCAGCAGGCAGTGTAAAAACAGCAGCAAGGTGAGGTAAAGTGCAACGGTGCAGTTCAAAGTGCAAAGGTCAGTTCCTCAGTTTGGGGCTGGTGTGTATGTGAGTGCAGGGGGTTGATGGAGGCCACAGCCCTGGGGAAAAAGCTGTTCCTCAGTCTATTTGTCACAGTCGTTCTGATGTAAAGCATATGGAATTATAGGATTAGAAACAAGAAGTACAAAGTGCAAACTATGTCAAAAATACAAAAGTAAAAAATGTGCATTATGCTTCAGTGTTAACACCAGTGTCTAAAGTATTTAAAATATAAAACTTTGATATGAGTGTGTGAAGTGTGTAAAAATATAAAGATATGTGCCTTGTGCCACATATAAATGTGTAAAACTGGTATGTAAAGATAAGTGAATTATTGCACTAATTATTGTACATAATTCAGTGTACTTGTACTTTACTAAAGTATTTCCATTTTCTGCTACTTTCACCTTCTCCTCAGCATCTCAGAGCGAAATAATGTACTTTTTACTGCACTAAATTTTTCTGACAGCTCTCCTGTACATGCTTTTGACATGACATGATACTTGACATGCTGACATGATTAGTACTTTTACTCCAGTAAAGGCTCTGAATACTTCTTCCACCACATGAAACCTGAAACTGGTTTTGCTGGCGGTCATCATTCCTCCTGTTGAACCATCTCTTTGTGGTGCAGTGTCAGTGATGGAGGAAGAAATAATCAGTCCTTGTTTTACAAAGTAAAATTAATTTGAGTGCTCAGGAGTCTGAACAGTTTCAGCGGGTACCTCATAAAACTACAGTCTCCTCAGTGTACAATTCCCTCTTTGTGTTTCCACAAGCAGTTTCCCTGTTGAGCTGTGGTCAAAGGATAGTGGGAATATAAAGGGAATTTTGTACCAGGAAGACTTGAGACATCCACGTTATTATAATAATCTGGTCTGCTGAAGCCTTTTATCCCCCTCGGATAAAAATCCAAATACATTTTAGCACAGAACGAGGACTGTGTGGATTTTGTGCCCCAGCGCTGACACTGACAATCAGGAGGGGATTTTTGTAAAGGTCAGCATGAGCAAGAAACAGACAGGAAGACATTGTGAATCGGTCCTTTTAGAATTTTTCTATAACCTCAAATATTCATAACTAAATAAACATTTCAAAGTTAAAGGTCAGAAAAAGCTCACAACAATTAAAAAACAGAGAGAGGCACTTCTCTGTGTGCTGCTGTGTTACAACGATGGCAGATATCAAAACATCTTCAGTTTATACTCTAAATATCACGCTGTTATTCTGTCACTCCATTCTATATTAAAGTTACGATCACAGAATGGAGGGACAGAGTTGTTTTGCCTTTAAGCCAAATTTGTAGGTAGTAACCGCGCCAAAATGACATCTGTGTAAAAAAGAACAGCCGGCAGGACGTGATCATGGGCGGCGTGATGTTTTGACTATGTGTTTTACGTACGACCCTCTGCAGGAGATTTAAAAAGTAGCAGTTAGTGGTTAGCAGCTAACTCAAAAAAGAAGAACAGCAGCTGTAAGCAGTTAGCAGATAACTCAAAAAATAAGAACGGCAGCTGATAGCAGTTAGCAGCTAACTCGAAGAAAAAGAACAGCGGCTGAAAATGTCAACAAACAGTGAAAACAGTGAGGTCCAGGAGCTCCTTACCCTCCGAGCAGAGGACGAGATCAGCCGCCACATAACAGGGACACTAAATGATTGTTATTGACATGTGATGTCATTGTTATTGTTTATAAAGAGCTGCTGACACGTATGTTATATGTCACACTAGAGGCCGACGCTGATGTGTTACATGTCACGCTTCTTTTTATTCTGTGATGTCATCATGCTGTCTGACATCACACACTGTAACCTGGTGCTGTTCTTCTATTTTTTGTATTTCTTTCAGTCATGGTAAAATATTACTGTCTGCCTTTATTATAAACATTTGGGAAACATTAACAAGAAACGTGAGCGTTCCACAAACCTTTAGTTGAACAAAAATCAGTGTTGTACAGAATGTAATATTTTACATTGAAATTTTTTTTGAGGTTTTCAAATTAAGCTTTGAATGTCTGTCGTCATATTTTATAACATCATAACTCAGTTTTCACTCCCTCACTTCCTACTCTCATCCAGCTCAGGTCAAAAAAATAATTTAAATTAAATTGAACTGAATTGATAAATGCGACTGAAGCAGAATATTCGGTTTGATAAAAACATGTTGTGAATTTCACAGCTCTCTGTTTTCAATAATGGTTTTAGCTTTTGGACTTTTGGACAGCACACAGGTGTCATCAGAAATGCTCAGATCACAGAAGTCTCAAACAGTGATACGCAGCCACAACTGGACTCTAATTCTACTAACAGTATAATACTAATAATATTAGTGTTGTTTAATCAACCATCGAAGAAAAAAGCTGCGCAGCATTCCACTTTTGATTCAGAATCCAAATGTCAACATGCTGAATGATGCTTTGGAGCTTCAAACAGTTCAGTCACATCATCTTAAACTTTTATTCTTGAGTCACGTGTAAAGACTAACAGCTGTGTTGCGCGGTGAATCCACTTCCTGCTCAGCTTGCAGGTCGACCTGACCACCTGCTGCTGTGGCCCAAGTTTCAGCACAAAGGTGGCAAGTAAAATGTAACCATGACAGATAAACACGATATGTAAGATTTAAAGTTACCAAATGCCTGAATTTCTCTGTGCACGCTGACATCATGTATCCGACCGTGTGTCCTGTCTGCAGCTCGGCATGTCCGTCAACATGGACTCTGATAATGACGTGCTGATGAAGGAAAGCATCAAGATGATGACTGATATGATCGTGCTGTGTGCCACTCTGGCACTGTCCCTCTTCTTCTGGGTCGTCTCCCTCACCATCAGCACCTACTACGGTGAGTCTGAACAAACATCCAGGTCTGGTGAACGCTAACACTGCAGTGTTTACGTTTTTATTATGTGTTGAGAAACATTTAGTGGAAACACATCTGGTAACGTGAAACCTTTAAAATTTATTCTGAAAAATGTCCTCAAAAAAAGTCAGATCAAATCATGTGCTCTGCTCCAAATACCACAGTAAATTCTCCTGAATCATCCTCAACAGCACCATTTGTTATGGTTTTCCCATAAATCGTGTAACGTCACACTCTGTCCAGTTTGGAGTTGTTTCTTCAGCCATGATCTTATCAGTGTAATTTTTAGTAGCTTTCTTGCGTGACCGTGTCCGCAATAAATTCTTCATCTGAGCAGGAGGGTGTCATCGGGTTTACATATAAATAACTTTCGCAATTAGAAGAATCTGCCCCAGTGTTTTGGTGCATGATAAACATGGAGAGAGTAAATTAAAAAGCATGTACTGCAAAGGTCCAGAAAAATAAATATGTAATGGAAAACTGCACAATAAAAACAGTAATTCTGGGGTTCAGGCCAGCATGGACTGCAAAGGGTCACGACCTTTGACACCTGCATTAAAGATAACTGACAGGTTTTATGTAGGGCTGTGTCACATCATCTTGTTCACGATAATACCGGTTTAGTTTTTTATATGATATGAAAAATTCCTTTGCTGTTGGAAACCTACGTGAATAAACTCTATATATGTGACTGTGTCCTAACAGCCTGTCACAGGTTACAGCCTGATGGGTAGAGATGATTTATATATATATATAGATCCCAGGGGACATTTGTTTAAATGTGTAATTAGTGGTAGATAAGATTTAGTTGAACTATTAATATTGTAACAGAATCTGAATCTCACTCTGAGTTACTGTTGTTGTTCACAAACTAAAGAAACGAGAGATAATTTTTCTTTCGTTTTTACAGAATATTTGAAGCAAACTGTGAAACTAGATCACTTAATTAGTTGTGATTCTGTGTTCTTAATTTTTTTCTGAAATCTGTCACATCGTCAAGAATATTGTTATCACCCACCCCTAGCTTTATGACGATTTAACAGATTCTCATTCACGTCCACATCTCTGCTGGGCAATGCTTTTCTTTGGCGACACTGTCGGCCCCTGGGGGTCAATAGCAGAAACATTTTGGACACTTGTTTCGATAGCTTTATTAACATCCACCCAGTTTGGTGATGTTTGGACAAACGTTCATCTATTCATGGCCGCGCCAATGAACATTTTTGGAAAATAATTTTACACACGTGGCTCAGCATTATCATTTAACACATCTTGCAGTTTTGTAATAATTGGACAACATTTCTGATTTATAGTCTGATTTTTGATAATGCCACGCCCGTTTTTTGCATTTGTCGCACCCCCTAGTGTTCGATTTAAATGACACTCCTAGGATTCAATTCAGGTACTTATGTAGACATATTCTGCAAGTTTTGTGATGATTGGCCAAACGGTTGTGGAGTTAGGTCCAGAAACATGCTGAGCTTTGTCCCTTTTAAAGTTCATAGGTCAATATTTTCAAAATACAATGAGATATCAACAAGCTTATGATAACTAAAAATGAGATTCATACATTAATGATTCACAGAAAATTTGGCACAAATTGGACGTACAGTTTAAGAGGAGATGTCAAAAATGAGTTGGGTTTTTTTTTTTAAATTCAAAATTTAAAATCTAGAAAGATTTAGGGTCTGGCTATGAGTAATGCAAATGGCCCAATTCGAGGGGCGGCACCAAGCATGTATTTGAAAATATCACTGCACGCAACTGGATAACACTACGACCAATCAGAACAATACATGGGGTGACGTATCCAGAGCTTAGCTACCAGCGGAGCTAACTGGTAGAGTAGACTCTTGTCGTATCCTGTCAGCAAAACAGCAAAAACGTCCTTCTTGCAAAGGAAAGATTTGAGCTTCTTCTTCTGTTCCTCTTTTAGAGATAAAGTTAAGTCTAACTCGTTTATTGTAGCTGCCAAAGCTGTTTTTAACATCTGGTGTTCATCCGTAGCCATCTTGCAATGTTTACTGACTGATTCCGGACTACTTTGTTGCAGCTGTGCATGGGTAATGAGCATCATTACTGATTGCCAGAGTGACTCGCTGAGCAAATTCAAATTGTGCTCTAGGGAGAACTCTGGATTTCCAGGGTATATATCCTGGACATTTTCTAATAATTGGACAAACAGTTTCTGATTTATAGTCTGATTTGTGTTAATGCCACGCCCATTTTTTGAATTTGTAGTGCTCCCTGGTGGTTGCAACAAGCTTGTGATAACTATCAATGAGCTTCATCCAGTAACGATCCACAGAAGATTTGGTACAAGTCAGACGTACTGTTTAGGAGATGTTAAAAAATAATTTTTTGAAAACTTCAAAATTGCGTGGAGGCGCCCCCTATTAAGAAATTTCAAAATAATTTCACATGAAAAATAAACATCAGAAATTCAGAATGGCAGAACATCTAGGAGGTCAGACTTGAGGTTTTTTTGTAGAGCAGACTGAGCCTGACTTCTGTGACGAACTGCAATTCGGCCTTTCCAAAATGTAAAGTCTAATTACCACCATCTGGCTAATTGGGGTCATATTTCTTGGCAGCATTTGCACGCAACTTCCAGTCATTGGTGAAAGTCTGATGTGTCTGTGATGTGACATCTCGCAGAAATCTGCAAAAACATTTCTGAAGAAAAAAACAAAATTCAAACAAAAACAGCAGGATCAGCCCATAAAAACATAAACAGTGTATCTGTGTCTGCAGAGTTGCCTTCCTGTCACCAGAGCGACCCCAATGGACGGTTACAAGCTCGTTGGGATTTAGTTTTGCTCGCTGCACGTGTTCATTAAACTGAGGGGGTTTTGTGCTGCTGTCAAACGATCCTCTCATTCAGAAAACGTGTGAAACCACCAGATCTCTCTCAGGTGGAGAATGTTACAGCGATTGTGACGGTGGTCTGAGTTTGTGTGTGCGTGTCTGTTTACAGGAACACTGCAGCCTGTGTCACCGTGGCGATGGCTGTTCTCCATCTTGGTTCCTCTTGTGCTGACGCTCCGGGCTCTGAAGAGAAGCAGTCTGACCCACTCAGGAGCTCTGGGAGGTGTGTCCATAAAGCTGCACTGATGAATTTGTGTCAACAGCAGATTGAGTGACTGTGAAATGTGAAGGTTGTAGAGAGGGGACGATGTGTTTCACCTCGGCTCAAACTTTTGGTTTTCTGACCTACAACTTCAGAGTTTTGAAACTATTCCAGACATTTGACTTTTTCAACATCTAGTCAATTAATGCCAGTATTTGAATACTGATTTAGACGTCGATTACCACAGCAGTGATCAGAGCTTCAAAGCGTTCAGGTCAGCCCAAGTGTTCATTGTAAAAACAGGATTAACAGTGCCTGGTCAAAGTGTCTTTTACTGTGAGTAGTTCAGTGAGTAGAAGATGAGCTGATCTCCAAAAGGCATGAAGTTAAAGATGAAACATGCTTTTCAACTTTTTGAATAAGATCAGTGTTTTATTTTTGTTTTGTACAGTTTTAGAGTGAAAAAAGTTAAAGGAGCATCGTCCAAAAGTTTGGACACCCCGAGACATTGGAGTTCTCAGACAACTTCTCCCAGGGTCTCAGACCTTAGTGAGCTTGTTGACAGTCATGGTGAGGACAGAGCAGATGACTCCTGACAGCTTGTCCCAACAGTCAGCAGCCATGGGCTCCTCTAAACAGCTGCCTGCACTCTGAACACTCAAAGACCTGATGAAGACTAGAAGAAGTCTTCACTTGGTCTTGGCATTAAGAAATGGCAGTTAACAGGAACTGTGGAGTAGGGATGTCACGATTACTTGATTTCACTATTAACCGCGATTTTAAACACCACGTTAATTCTTCGTAAAGATTCCTCAACACTGTCACTCTCCAAAGATTATGCGGAACCATATACAGTAGGCAGATCAGCGCCACTCACAGTCGCACGGAACGAAAACAAAGTTACACAAGCGGTACGGCTGAATAGGCGTCTCCGAGTGATGGAGTATGAAGACTTATTCCCCCCCAGAAAACAGATAAAGTCAGCCGTGTGGGATCATTTTGGCTATCGCAAAATGACCAAGGGATCATTATTGACGACGGCTTTCCAGTTTGTAAAACATGCCGCAAAAAAGTCGCGGCCAAAGGATCAAACACGAGCAACATGATACAACACCTGCGGGAAACCACCCGGCTTTACATGGGCAAGTAAAGGTAAATGCACAATAACTGGGTTAAAATACCTCAATCTCGATTTATTTATTGTAACATTGAATTAAAAATTATATGTTAGCGTGTCATTTGCAATTAATGGCGTAGTGGTATGATACGAGTTGGGCTTACAGTGCAACGTGACAAGCTAAGGCACGTCTCAAAAACTTTTTTAATGGATAGTTTTGCAGTTTGTGTGCACACAGCGTGAGGTCAAATCATTTTTTTAGTCATCAGACTGTTTCAGTGTCAGTGTGCAGTGTGGAAGATATACAGTACAGGCCAAAAGTTTGGACACACCTTCTCATTCAATGCGTTTTCTTTATTTTCATGACTATTTACATTGTAGATTCTCACTGAAGGCATCAAAACTATGAATGAACACATGTGGAGTTATGTACTTAACAAAAAAAGGTGAAATAACTGAAAACATGTTTTATATTCTAGTTTCTTCAAAATAGCCACCCTTTGCTCTGATTACTGCTTTGCACACTCTTGGCATTCTCTCCATGAGCTTCAAGAGGTAGTCACCTGAAATGGTTTTCCAACAGTCTTGAAGGAGTTCCCAGAGGTGTTTAGCACTTGTTGGCCCCTTTGCCTTCACTCTGCGGTCCAGCTCACCCCAAACCATCTGGATTGGGTTCAGGTCCGGTGACTGTGGAGGCCAGGTCATCTGCCGCAGCACTCCATCACTCTCCTTCTTGGTCAAATAGCCCTTACACAGCCTGGAGGTGTGTTTGGGGTCATTGTCCTGTTGAAAAATAAATGATCGTCCAACTAAACGCAAACCGGATGGGATGGCATGTCGCTGCAGGATGCTGTGGTAGCCATGCTGGTTAACTATGAAGTTAAGTGAGCCTGCACACTAGATACTGCTCCGAAGATTTCATGTGAATATCACCACACGTAACGTTTCAGGCCCAGGCACTTCATCAGACATGAAATTGTAATTTAAACAAAAAATAATGGAAATAAATGAAACTTAAAGATCTATGTGTTCATGTGATTTTACACATTAATAGTGTGAAATCAATTAATGCATAATAATCGTGATAATCGTAAAACCGTGATTATTTCTCTGACAATAATCAGACCAAGTAAATCTATAATTGTGACATCCCTACTGTGGAGGTCAAGCTGAAAACTTTGTGAGAGAGTTGCTCGTAGGATTGTTAGAAAGGAAGAGTTGTGGTGCACTGTTGTACTGTGCAGACACACCTGGTAAGGTATGACCTTCATGAAAGAGTCATCAGAAGAAAACCTGTCCTGTGTCCTCACCAATAAATTCAGACTCACAGGTTAGTGAAGGAACATCGAGACACGCCTGATGCTTTTTGTCCTGAGGACTGATGAAGGTAAAATAGAAACAAAGGTGTGTTTGGAGAAAGAAAGCTGCAGAATTTCTCTGCAGAGTGTAAAGTAGCATAAACTTATGAATAAAGTATTCAAGTTAGGTACAAATATCTCAAACCTTAATAAGTTGTATGCAGATGACACAGTAGTTTATGTACATGCTGGGAACAAAACCCATGCAGCATACAAACTGAACACAGTAATGACTCACATAGTTAAATGGCTCTCCGATAACTGTCTCCACCTTAATGCAAAGAAAACTGTCTGCATGTTCTCGACATAACCCTGGACTCAAACCTCACCTTCAAAAAGCAGGTAAAAAAAGTCACACAGACCATAAAGTTTTACATTGCCAACTTCAAATACATCTGTGACTGCCTCAACATGGAAACAGCAAAACTCTACTTCAATGCAATAATCATGTCCCATCTTACATCCTGTCTAACCAGCTGGTCTCAGACCTGTAGAACCACCCTGTCACCAATCCAGTCAGTTTATAAACAGGCTTTGAAGGTTCTAGACAATGAACCCATTCGCCACCACCACTGCACCATCCTGGAAAAGCATGCCCTAGCTGTCCATGTCCAAGCTGGGAAAACATCCTGAAGCTCAGAGATGCCAGCCTGGTATTTAAAATCCAACCACCACCCCTCTCTCAGTTCTTTACAGAGAGCAGCAGGTTCACTAGAACTGTGGTGGAGGGAAACTTCATCATCCCTGTAAGGAAAAGCTCATTTGGCCAATCAGCCAGCATCAGTCACCTTATTGTATGTGGAAGTGTTTTAAATATTAATCTTTTCAGGTAAAAGTCATGTGTTTGTAAAGTACTGATGATGCGAATGGATCAATGAAACTTGGATTATTCGTCAGTTTTTTGATTCTCCGTTCACCGTAGAGGCATCAGAGAAAAACAAAGTTTTCTATGAATCCAACGTAACACAGGCTGAGTAACTGATATATAAACGATCATGTCAGGGCGAAGTGTTCCGTTAATCTGCAGGAGCTTCAGTTCATGATGAGACCAAACTGATTTTAGGGATGTTTTTCAGCCGTGACAAAGTTCAGAACGTGACCTGTAACAGACAGGAAGCCTCGTTGTTTTTAGCCGAGACGATGTCTGGAGAGATGCCCTTTGCTACATGATTTTATTGATCACACACATCACAGAGGAATCAGCAACAGTCTGCAGCCACTGAAGTCAGTGAAACAGGTTCTTTGAAAGTTGTGGATCAGTGCAACCACAAAATGTCTCTGAGGGAACACTCAAAGTTCACACAAAAATATAATTCTGATTGGTCTGGTGGTCAGTGAGATTAGCTACGGACACACACACACACACACACACACACACACACACAGGACCGTACGCATGATCCCGTTGACTCCTGCAGGGTATCATTAATCAGTTATCAGTCTCTTTACATCTCAGTGATGCCTTCAGTAAAACCACTCATGTTCCTTCAGTCTTTCAGGATTCTGAGAAATCAAACCATCAGTATCTCTTGTAGACACTGAGTCATACTGGGAGGAACGCTCCATGATCTCATTAAAACCACAGCTTTTTACTGGTCGATACATAACACACACAGCTCTGGGCTGAATGTAAGACATTCATAATGGTTTGTTTCAGAGGTCGTATTCATCAGAAATACTTCAGTGATCTGTCGTCTGTCCACCTGCCACTGATGCTGCTGGGTCCAGTATCTGTTGATCACCATTGTTTTCTAGGTGGTGAATGAAGCAAATGTAGCAGCTGCTTTGGCTGGTTCTAATTTCCAACCCTGAACACTATAAAAATACCCCATTGCAAGTAGAAGGTGTATTATAGGGGGGTCCTCCGGCAGACTAGGCCTAAGTCAGCCTAACTAGGGGCTGGTACAGGACAAGCCTGAGCCAGCCCTAACTATAAGCTTTATCAAAGAGGAAAGTCTTAAGTCTAATATTGATCATAATGATTTCATGTAGATCTGATGAGTAACTATAGCAGTAAAAAAAATATGTGTAATATGTAAAAAAAAAAAAAAATATATATATATATATATTTGTTTTTAAAAAATGGCGGCATGGTGGTGCAGTGTTGAGCATTGTCACCTCACAGCAGCACCCTTTTTCCATTGTCACTCTCGGCCGCGCTGGGTAAAGCCATGCCGCAGCGATTTGTGTTTCCGTTGTCAGTTTAGATGTGCCACACCAAGCTGCGCCAGAATTGGACCTTCTCCAGAGAAGGTCCAAAAGTCAGACACTGCTTCTCCCCCCGAAACAAGTGTGTGATGTGAGACTCTCCCGTCTGTCTGCAGGAGACCAGAGAGACAGGCGAAGAGTCTCTGTGTGTGTTTTCTCTCCTGCATCCTGTTTGTACTTTATGTGTTAGAAGTTGTTGCTCCAAAACTCAACATTTCCTTATTTTGCTGCTTCACAATAAAAGTTTTTACATGACAAAATAACAGGAGACTTTTATTGTGAAGAATCTACAGGAAATGGAATGTGTTATCACCGAATTAGCAGAACTTTGTCAGCAGCTTTTCTTCAGTAAAGACAAGTCTAATGATACGGCAGGGAGGAAGAGTGAAATCAGAAACAGCCACAGTGAGATGATGATGATGATGAGGATGATGATGATGATGATGATGAAGAGCTGCAGACAAACAGCTCACCTCCAACAGGTAAACTTCTTTCACCTGCCCTGCTGCCAAAATAACAGTGGACTTTAGGCGTGGATCAGCTCGCTGCTTTTACACCTCATCACTCAAGACAAGCCATCATCAGTTAAAGACACACCTTCAGCAGGTGGACCTGTTGTCATGGAGATGCAAATCCCTGCTGCCGGGCTGACAGACCAAACCAAACAAAACCAAACCATGACTGTTGACAATTTGGGCGGCTCTCTCGATACCTTTGTGTCCATGTTGGCGCCATATAAGATGCAGTCTGAGCAGGCAGATCTGGCTGCTGGTTTGATGGAGGGAAGTTTACCACAGGTCATCTCCACATCCTGTCCTCCATGTTGTGATACAACTGAAAGTCTTTGTAGCCAAAGAGTCTGCTGCAGACGTCCAACATGTTTGCAGCAGTTTCTCCTTTGATTCGTGCTGTGTTTTATAAAAGCAGCTGATATAGTTAAAGATCATCGAGTCACTGAAGAGATTTTCCAAGAGGTTTGACGTGAAGCTTATTTTTGTTTGAAGTTTTCTGGGTCACATTTTCACACCAAAGCTTCTTATTAGAGAACAGATGAGCATTTTCTTTTAACTTTTATTTAATGACCAAAAAAATTAACCTTTTGTTTGATTTCATAAGGCCGTCATCTTCGTCGTCAGGACAGGGTGAATCTTTGTGGCCCTAATGAATCAATTTGATATACATAAAAAGTCAAATGTGTTAGAAAGTAGATGACGTCAAATGGCCCTCTGCTGAGTGTTGGAACATCTGAGATCATCGTTACTGAAGACTTAGACGTGTTTACAGGAAGTGAGAACATGGATCAGCTTTCTAAGAAACATTCATCTGTTGTTGAAGTAAAAAAGAGTTCCTCTAACATGACGTGTGTGTTCTCAGCCCTGCTGGTGGGATTTGTGTTGACGATGGCCAACTACAGCTTCTTCTCCGCCCTGCTGGCCTTCTTCATCACCTCCTCCAAACTGACCCGCTGGGGAGGAGCACAGAAGAAGAAAATAGACGCCGAGTACAAAGAAGGTGAGAGACATGAAGGTGTGCTCTCTTTTTTTCTTTAAATTAATATTCATATTTAAATGTGTTAACCTCTGTGTTTGTGTCAGGGGGGCAGAGGAACTGGGTCCAGGTCTTCTGTAATGGAGGAGTTCCCACAGAGCTGGCACTGCTTTATATGATTGAGGTAAACACACACCATTTATTAGAGAACAGTCGTGTCGTGAAGCGACCTTAACAAGCATCATAAGTCCCGTTCACCTTCTTTTATGATGTTTTTTGCACTGCTGATGTAGCGTGAAGTGGCGAATTCTTCCAGGGCAGGGCGGAGCCTTTTTATCTCTTTACCACACAGAGACGCCGTATGTGAGGACGCTCTCGATGGTTGTCCTGTAGAACGCCACCTGCAGCTTCCTCTCCATGTTGTTTCACCTGAGGACGCAAAGCCTCTGTTGTGCTCTTTTTTTTGGGGCTTTTATTTGAGCATGAAAGGGGGAGAGACTGGGGATGACATGCAGCAACATGCTTTGTACATGTGGTGCCTGCTCTACTAGGTGAGCTAGTGGGCATGCTTGTGGTCTTCTTATTGTCACCGTGGTGTTGGGTGACCAGGAGAGATCCTCAGAAACATGGACTCCCTCTTTCCACACATGCTCTTCTGGTGCAGAGGGGTCAGGCTTCTTCCTGAAGCCCAGAATCATCTGCTTTGTTTCAGTGGTGTTCAGTGTGAGGTTATTCACTGAGCACCACTCCAGTCCAGCACAGTCTCTGTACCTCGTCCCTGTAAGCAGACTCCTCGTCCCCCCGATATGAGCCCAACAATGGATGGATGGAAAGTACCACCAGTTTTCTCCTCCACCACAGTCTCTCCACCGAGTCACCCTCTTTCTCTCTGTCTGTAAAGTACAGTTGCTTTTCCAACACGCCGCGCTCATAAGCAGGAAAGCTTTCCACTGCGACATGTGGTATAAGAATTGACTGTAAACAAAAAAATTGAAATTACAAAAAAACAAACTGCTGATCCTTTAAATGCTTTCAGTTGTATGTAAATGTGGTGTCTGACTCTTTAAAATGGCCGCCATGTTTCAGGTGGGTCCAGGTGAGATCCCCATTGACTTCAGCAAACAGTACTCGGCCTCCTGGATGTGCCTGTCTCTACTGGGCGCGCTCGCATGCAGCACCGGGGACACCTGGGCGTCAGAGGTGGGGCCCGTCCTCAGCCAATCACAGCCGAGACTCATCACCACCTGGAAGGAAGTTCCTGCAGGTGAGAGGCTGAAAACAATCACTGGGTGCTCAACACATCCACAAAGTCACAGGATTATGTGATTTAATCTGAATTGCTAATCCTTGTTTTCTTATGAACAATCCACATTTAGGTTTTGATCCAATCTGATTGAAATTTAATCAGATGAGTCCTTTTGGTTTGTTGTTTTGGCGAGGAAGAGACATCTGTGGATAATTCAGCTCCTGAACAGTGAACACTGAAGGAAGTTTCAGCTGCTTACAGTCCTAACTCCTTAAATCTTTAACACTAATCCGTCCTGTCTGCTGTGTAAGTGTCATCAGATCATTTTCCCCGTTAAAGGGTTTTTTGGGGAGTTTTTCCTGATCAGCTGTGAGGGTCCTAAGGACAGAGGGATGTCGTATGCTGTAAAGCCCTGTGAGGCAAATTGTGATTTGTGATATTGGGCTTTATAAATTGAATTGAATTGAATTGTTTGCTGTGATATCATTGACATGAAATCAGTTTTCCAGTCTGTGATACAATCGACTGACCTACAGCTACTGTACTCGACTGTAAAGTGAAGTGTGACTTCAGTGTAAAAGGCTGTTTGTGTGGATGTATATGATGACGCAGACGGAGGAGGCAAAAGTTCAGCAGCACACACAGTTTCTTTGTATCGATGGTCAAATTAATGGTTTTCCTAAATTTGACCCTGAAATGTTTTTGATTGATTAGAGCTAGTTTATGGACTGAACATGTTCACACTGGTTCTTCTGCTTATTGCGATCTACTTATTATTTTTCTGCTCTCGTGCCCTCCAGGAACAAACGGAGGGGTCACGACTGTCGGACTTGTCGCCAGCTTCCTCGGTGGGTTCACGGTGGGCGCAGCGTACTATGCAACACAGCTTCTAGTGGTCAGCGACTTGCACCTGGCGGACCCTCAGTGGCCCATCATGATGTATGGCGGTGTGGCTGGCCTGCTGGGGTCGATGCTGGACTCTTTCCTGGGAGCTCACATGCAGTACTCAGGTAGGACCAGTGGTATCATGGTACATCCCTCTCTTTAAATCTGCCTAGATCACCATGGCAACTGATGCTGCTTCTCTAACCTGGTCTCCTCTCGCTCTGTCCGTCTCCAGGCTTTGACTCGAGCATCAGGAAGGTGGTGAGTTACGAATCTGCCACCACTCGGCGGATCTGTGGGAAACCCATCTTAGACAACAACGCCGTCAACCTTTTCTCCTCCGTCCTCATCGCACTCATCCTGCCCGGGCTGGCGTGGGGGATGTGGCCACGATAGACTGACAGACGGATAAACAACACGGAGCCAGACGACCGATCACAGACAGAATTATTAAAGACATTTGAGTAATGTGTTGGTCACACTAAAGGTTAAAACAACAACACTCTCCTCCTGTATTAATACGGGACATTATGTTGGACATGCTGAGAGGCTCTGATGAAGAGGAAAATAAATAGAGTGATGAAAACTTTGTGTAGTGTTTCATACATTAACTCAACGATGTCCTACAGATGACTGCACATATACATCCCAATAAAACAGATACTACTGATGGACAGGCAAGAAGTGGGACTGCTTACTCATAATATAAACTGAAAGCCAAAAAAGTATTTCAAATAAAATCCTGACATGACTCTTCAAATGTCTGTGTTTTAATCGTCTTCTCTAATTAGCAAATTTCACTTTGCTTTGCCTCTTACGTTAAAATATCAGAATAGGCAAAAGAGTGATGTAAACAATGGAGATCACCTCTGCTGGCCATTTAGGACCTGATCTGTGATTGAAAATGTTCATTAAACTCAACATGTTAATGATATTTGGTGCCTAACATTATTACTGAGCAAGAAAGCTTCCTCCTGTTGGTAATTACAAGTGTTCATTGGTAATGTTGGAACGCCCTCTGGTGGATAGACTGTGTAACAGCCACATGCTGACAGTGGCATTCAAGCATACACCTGTGTATACAGTGCACACTTACATAGAAAGTATGAATAATAGGCTGATGATTTACCGGTATTCATAATGTGAATAAATCAAGAATAAAAATGTATGTTTTTTTCCTGATTCATTCATTAATATGTCAGTCACTAGTCTGTAAAAATATTCCCCCCAAAATCTGCGTAACTATTAGAACTTTGAATCATCCTAGTATACGTCATAGTATAGCATGTCATCCGAAAGAAAAAACATCATAGTATAGCATGTCATCCGAAATCTTAATAAAATGTCATAGTATAGTATGTCATCCGAAATCATGAAAAAACGTCATAGTATAGCATGTCATCCGAAATCTTAATAAAATGTCATAGTATAGCATGTCGTCCAAAATCATGAAAAAACGTCATAGTATAGCATATCGTCTGAAATCTCAAAAGAAACGTGATAGTTTACCATGTCGTCCGAAATCATGAAAAAATGTCATAGCATGTCGTCCGAAATCATGAAAAAATGTCATAGTATAGCATGTCGTCTGAAATCATGAAAAAACGTCATAGCATGTCGTCCGAAATCATGAAAAAACGTCATGGTATAGCATGTCGTCCAAATTCATCAGAAAATGTCATAGTATAGCATGTCGTCCAAATTCATCAGAAAATGTCACAGTATACCATGTCGTCCGAAATCATGAAAAAATGTCATAGTATAGCATTTCGTCCAAATTCATCAGAAAATGTCACAGTATACCATGTCGTCTGAAATCATGAAAAAATGTCATAGTATAGCATGTCGTCCGAAATCATGAAAAAATGTCATAGTATAGTATGTCGTTCGAAATCATGAAAAAATGTCACAGTATAGCATGTCGTTTGAAATCCTGAAAAAAATATCATAGTATAGCATGTCGTCCGAAATCATGAAAAAATGTCATAGTATAGCATGTCGTCCGAAATCATGAAAAAAATGTCACAGTATAGCATGTCGTTCGAAATCCTGAAAAAATGTCATAGTATAGCATGTCGTCTGAAATCATGACAAAACGTCATAGTATAGCATGTCGTCCAAATTCATCAAAAAATGTCATAGTATACCATGTCGTTCAAAATCATGAAAAAATGTCATAGTATAGCATGTCGTTCGAAATCATGAAAAAATGTCATAGTATAGCATGTCGTCCGAAATCATGAAAAAAATGTCACTGTATAGCATGTCGTTCCGAAATCATGAAAAAAATGTCACAGTATAGCATGTTGTTCGAAATCCTGAAAAAAAAAGTCATAGTATAGCATGTCGTCCGAAATTATTGAAAAATGTCATAGTATAGCATGTCGCCTGAAATCATGAAAAAATGTCACAGTATAGCATGTCGTCTGAAATCATGAAAAAATGTCACAGTATAGCATGTCGTTTGAAATCATGAAAAAAATGTCATAGTATAGTATGTCGTTTGAAATCATGAAAAAAAGTCATAGTATAGCATGTCGTCCGAAATCATGAAAAAAATGTCACAGTATAGCATGTCATCCGAAATCATGAAAAAAATGTCACAGTATAGCATGTCGTTTGAAATCATGAAAAAATGTCACAGTATAGCATGTCATCTGAAATCATGAAAAAAATGTCACAGTATAGCATGTCATTTGAAATCATGAAAAAACATAGTAGTACAGGATGTTCTGTAAAATCAGTCCACCATGGTTGAAAGCGCAGAGTGGGCAGTTTGAAGAGAAGAACAACAGAGATTATATGTTTTCAAATGAAGCTTTAATGTCTTCTCTCGCTCTGTCCGTCTCCAGGCTTTGACTCGGGCATCAGGAAGGTGGTGAGTTATGAATCTGCCACCACCCAGTGGATCTGTGGGAAACCCATCTTAGACAACAACCACGTCAACCTTTTCTCCTCCGTCCTCATCGCACTCATCCTGCCCGGGCTGGCGTGGGGGATGTGGCCACAAATGGAGATCACCTCTGCCGGCCATTTAAGAAGTAATGTGCGATTGAAAATGTTCATTAAAGTCGACAAGTTAATGATATTTTCTGTCTGAGAGTATTACTTAGCAAGAAAGCTTCCTCCTATTGTTTCCTCCAAGTGTTCATTGGTAATGTTGGAACGCCCTCTGGTGGACAGACTGTGTAACAGCCACATGCTGACAGTGGCATTCAAGCATAAACCTGTTCATACAGTGTAGAGGTACATAGGAAATATTAATAATAAGCTGATTTTGAGCATTAGAATTTAACTGTAATTCTGATATTAAAAAGTATAATGAATATAATAATATAATAATTTGTATTTGTGACTTACCCTCAATATGAAGTCAGTTAAATCGTCTACTTAAGAGACAAACATCTAAAACAAAGGCCTGTGACCTGTAGTGACCTGGTGTGGTTACAGTGTGTGAGGTGGAGAACAGAGTGGACAGACAGCGGCAGGTTTCCAGAGGTATTACTGTTTTTATTTCAGAGTGTCTGAGAGAAAAGGCACTAAACCAAACCGGGAGAGTGACACCGACGTCGAATGAGAGAAAGATGCAGAGGAGTCAGGTTTAAATTAACAGATATAAAGTTTACAGCATACAAACACACTCAACACAGTCTCTCTCTCTCTCTCTCTCTCTTACACACACACACACACACACACACACACACACACACACACACAGCCTCCTATCTACACGTCTCCTCAGTAATGAAATACAGCAGAGTGGAGACAGCCGGAGCTGTTAAAGGAAAATTCCCCCAAACAAACATGTTTTATCAGATTATCTGAACAGAACGTCACGTCCACGCGAGTTCTGACATCACAGAGTGTTTAACAGCAGAAATAAATGTACAGGTAGTGTTTCATTTTTCCTTTAAACCCTCTGAAAGCTTCACTGACGTCTCAAAGAACCCAACAACAAAATAAAGAAATCATAAATAACATTTTACAGAGAATAAATATATAAACCTCATTAGACAGAATCAAGATTACAAATATTCACTGTGCTCCTGTGTCATTTAATATCAGGATGTGGTCTGTAAGAGACAAGTCTCCACTGGGGGGCGCCACAGATTTGAAGTGAAGGCAAATAAATTACAATTAAATCAAAGGGGGCTTCAGAGCTGCAACAACTAACCGAATAATCAATCAGTCGTCAACTATTAAATCAATCACCAACTAATCTGATAATCTCTTTATCAGTTTGAGTAATGTTTAAAGAAAGAAACAGTCAAAATATTTTCTGAGTCCGGCTTCTTAAGGGTGAATATTGTCTCTTTGCTGTGACAGTAAACTGAACGTCTCCCAGCTGTAGACAAAACGAGATGTTTGAGGACTTCGTGTCGGACTTCAGGAAACACTGACGGACTTTTTCTTTGTTTTCTGATACTTTATGAACTAAACGACGACAGATTAATCAACAAAGAAATAAATTGTGAATCTCAGCTTCACTGTAGAGTCCTGCTTGCACTCCTTCTGATTGTAATAACAATAATAATAAGAATAATTATAATAATAATAATAATATTGTGATTATCTTTGCATCCAACTGTGCCTCCTTCATCTTCTCTTACAACATAAGTTAAACAAAAGCTTACACACTGTTTCATTTCGTAAACAAATATTCATTGTTTGGTCGTCAGTTTAATTTGGTGAACGTCCTTTTCTATATTTCAGATTCAGCACAGTTTATCGTTAGTTTTCAAACTTGACTCCAGAGAAAAACAGAAACTTTTAGCAGCACTGGAACAGCTTTTAGTTTCTGGAGCCACGACGACAGAGCAACAGAATCTGAGACTTAGAGAATAGTTGTAATATTTTAATTAGAAAAAAAGAAATTTCAGAGACAAAATGTGGTTATAATTTTGGGGAGGGGAAGAAACACTAAAATTTTTTCAGGTGATGTCAATATTTAACAAGAACAAAGTTAAATGTTGAAAAAAATCAATCTGAAGAAAACTTAAATATTTGGAGATTAAGTCTTATTTTTCAAATTATTTTAATGACAAAGGAGTTATGAGGGTGTGTGATTATAAAAACATAAAGTCATAAAAGTGGAAAAATTTGGAATGTTATGAAAATAAAATTAAAAAAATTCTGAGACAAAAAGTATTTTGAAAATGGTCATGAGTTTTGGCGGCGGAGGGTGCAGAATTTTCAGGTGAAGTCAATATTTAACAAGAAAAAAGTTTGATGTTGAAAAAGTCAAAATTTAAGGAAAAATTAAATATTTTGAGAGTCTGAAATTTGCGAGAATTAAGTTGCAATTTTGAGAAAAAATATTTTGCAATAATAATGGACGAGTCTCGAAAATGTGTAGTTTTAGGACAGAAATATTTTAAGAATCAAGTCATATTTACAGATTTATTTTCTTATTCAGAATTAGATTTTTAACCCCAAAATTTAATCTCTCTCCTCATTACATGACTTTAATCTCAAAAAATATTCAACTTGACTCTTGAAATAAATTTTCTTTTAAAGTTCCAACTTTAATGTCAATTTCTGTTTTTTCCTCATAAAATTTTGACTAATTTTTGTAAATTTTTTTGGTATTTTTTTCCTCGTTTCATGTCTTTGTTCTCATGATATGACTTCTTTCGAAATATTTCAACTCTAATCTCTAAATCTCAGAGGAGCGGCTCTGATGCTCTCTGTCGCTGGTCCAGAAAAGTGTTTTTATTTGGAACTGGAAAATCAGAATGAATTTTTTTCAGCCCTGTTAAACTCCGATTTCATGATTGAAGGGAGAGGAAAAATAAACCGAAACTCCTCAGACGGGTTCAAACGCCACCACATTTAAATCCTTCATGTCAGCTGTCTTCACACGTCGTCACACGTCGTCACACGTCGTCACATGTCGTCACATGTCGTCACATGTCGGAGTGTTTCATGTTTTAA